CGTTTTCATAGATGGAGAGATTTCAGACACAAGTGGTTTCAAGGGGTTGACTCCATGCCTTCTTCGACTAATACAATAGCAAATTCGGGTTGGACAGAAATTACCAGGTTTTATATCCAATTTGTAAATTCCCTTCAGCTGCAACTTTAAGCGTATCTCTGTATTGATCATCTTGACCCATATGCATAAGAGAAGACAGTTAAGATTATTAAGCTGAAAATTTAAACAGGGGGAAGGCACGACGACACTTAAAAATAATGGAAAGCCTTACCACCACCATGGAGAATTGTGCGGACCATATCCATCATCACTCTTTAATCCTAACTCTGGCCCTAATCCTACCTTTCCAAGATCGGGGTTTAGTAAGAAAAGCAGTAAAGCGATAGTATTTACCAATAGGTTTGGTTGAATCTGACTAGCTGTATTACATTGTATACAAGATGGGAAGATCGCAAACTATTCAAAACACTTTGATAAAGGTATCAAAAATATACCATAAATTGATTATAAAAATGCATTAATTACGCAATATATTTCACTCTAATTTGCGGAAAGTTTAGCATGCATCAGTTACGGTGTGGGTGTATTTACCAAACCATGTATGTTGTTGGCTATGTGCTAAGTTAATCTATTCACAGGGTGGGGTAGCCCAAGTGGTTAGAAGGTGTATCATTTCTTCCAATAGCTGTCCCCGGTAAATAAAAGGGAACACACGCTAAGCTTCATCATGGTATACACACACCACTGACCAACCAACTCACAATACTCAGAATTCATACACTTCCTTTTTCAGAGGGGGGGAGCATTTACCACCAGTCTCAGTAGTGGTAAATTGGTAATGGGATAAGGATGAGAAGTCTGAGGTTTGGGGGAATATGAAACTTTCCCCTCCGGAGAACAGAATTGAGGATGGGCAGTTGATTCGGGGGCGGGGGCAAAACGGACAAGGAAAGTTTTCCCTCCAAACTATTTTGGAGTATCTTTCTCCCTCCAACTAATTGGTTTGGATACAGCCTCTAGGAAATCATCATCTTCTTTTACCTCTGAAGAAAGAGGGACTTTTGGCCTCAACATTGTATAAAGGGGTAAACTATCTGGATTTATAAAAATTTCGAGGTTCAAAGGAACATCTTGACGGGCATGGCTGGCTGCCTGTTAATGCCTAGCACGTTTGGGAAGTTTGAGGCGGAGGATCCTCTCAGGCCCAGAGTTTCAAGGACCAGCATGGGAAAACATAGGAGAACTTGCCTCTTACAAAAAAAAAAAAGAACAAAGCTAGCGCGTGGGTGGTTGCCATCTACAAAAAAATACAAAAAAAAACCAAAAAAACCAAAAAGAAAACAAAAAAAAAACCCAAGGGCAGAATCCCATCTCACCCACAAAAAAACAAAAAGAAAACTAGCCAGGCATGGTGGTGTGGGCCTGTAGTCCTACCTACTCAGGAGGCTGAGGTAGGAATACTTGAGCCCAGGAGTTACAGCCTGCAGTGAGCTATGACCACACTACCGCACTACAGCCCTGGGTGACAGAGCAAGACCCTGCTGCTAATAAAGGAACATCTTTTATTAAATAGGTACCCTTTAAATGACCACAGACTTAGAGATGTTCCATTTCAGAAGAATTCTCAAATAAGATATCCATATAATTGTGAAAGGGAATTAGAGATGTAAGGATACCTCTATATGGAAACTGTTAACTGAAAATTGTGAAATCGGAAATTACACCAAAACTGCACAATGCACACATCAAAAGTACAAGTTTGTATCTCTACTCACACTTCCAACTTGTTGATGTACTTTATAACCTATAATTAACTTGTTCCTGAGATGTGGATGTTTAAAAACAAATTCTGAATACGGCTGTCTTATTTTTATCCAAGACTATATTCAACTGCCTAAATAAAATAATGGCCACTTTATTTTTTTTTCCATTTAACCAGATTTGGCCCTAGTCACATACAAGTATTTCAAGTGAACCTCTGACCTGAATTACCTGCATAATTTAGATGACTTTAAGATTTCAAGTTTCCTAATTTAGACTATTTCAAGATAAGTAGCCAATTAAACACTCAGGAAGGCCGTTCCTTAACAAAAAATTTAAGGGAAAAAAACCATGAATATTGATCATTCTGCCTAAAGACTTAAAATAATACAGACATAAAATTAAAATATAAGTGAACTAGGAAAGATATCTACAATAAACTTACTATATAAAAGTGCTTACAAAATCAATAAAGACAGTCCTACTACAGAAAAACATTAGTCCAGTCAAAAAGGATAAACCAGTAACTAATAAAAAAAAAAAAGTTTTTTTTAACCTATTAAATTGACAGATTCTTTCATGCATAGTGAAACTGGTAAGGGGACAAGGAAATGAACCCTCTAACCTCTAGTGAGG